GAGCAGATGAGGCAGAGTAGGGTTGGAGGGCACCCAATTTTTTGAACCACGGCATATAGGCCCTCTCGACTAACCATAACAAAGGCCTTTGATAGGTCAACAAAAGTCATGTGCAGGGGACTATGTTGTTCTCTGCACTTTTCTTGAATCTGTCTCAGAGAGATCATGTTCACTGTGGACCTGTTTGATCAGAAACCGCACTGTGACTCGGGATACACCCTATTCGCAAGAGCTTGAAGGTGTGCTAGTAAGACTTTTGCGAACACCTTTGCAATCTCCCATGTCTCCTTTGTTTTTGTAGTTTTATGATCTTTGCATCACGCAGGTCCCTTGGAAAAGCACCTTCTGACCAGGACTTGCAGAGGATTTTGTAGAGATAGGGAAGGAGGTCTTCATCACACTTGAGCAGATCAGCAGGAATGGCGTCCTGTCCAGACGCTTTCCCGCTTGGGGTACTTTTCAGGGCAGCTATCAATTAGTCAATAGTCGGCATGGCTTCCAACTGCTGCATTTCTGGAAAGCTGGGAGTGCCTTCTTTGGCTTCCTTTTAGATGGGCCGTGGTTAAGAGTACAGTTCTGAGTAGTGCTTGACCCACCTGGCAAGCTGTTTCTGTTTCTGAAGAGCCCTTCTAGCCACCTTCAGCAGGTCATGGTTTGCATTGGTTGCTCGGGTCTTAAACTGATGATTCGCTGCGTTTTTCCTCTCAAGCAGTGGAAGCAGCACATCCAAGTTGGCAGCAAGCCAGTCTGTATCCGCACATTTCTTGATACCAAAGGCTGTCTTGGCTGCTTCAAAAATTGCTTCTTGAAGGGTGTCTCAGCTAACTGTGGCACTGTCGTCTTCAGTTACGGGATTAAGAGCCATTTGTTCAGTAAACATTTGTGGAACATTTCTATGCAGATTGGGTCTTTCATGGCAGCCGTATCTAGGTACTTTCTGCAGGCTTTCTTCGTCTGGGTTCTTGGTTTGGTGCCAAGCTTTATGGTTGACAGGACCAGAGAGTGGTCAGTGTTGCCGTCCGCGCTGTGAAAGACGCGTGTGCTTGACTTGTCCAATGTCAGATCTCCTGGCTAGCACGTTGTCCAGCTGATGCCAACGTTTCGATCTTGGGTGGCGTCAGCTGACTTTGTGTGTTAATTTTCCAGCAATATAGGTGTTTGAGACGCACAAACCGTTTTGGCTGCAGAATTCCAGTACACGCTGACCATTTGAGTTCATCCTACCTATTCCATGTTTGCCCAAGCAGTCTGGTCAATAGGAAGATACATACCTTACCCTGCAAATGCCAGAGGGAGGACACACATCTTTAACCCCAGACTGCGTCAAAAGACTGTTAGCACCTGGAAAATGCTGATACCCAGGCCAAATGCTCATGATACATTAGGTATGATGCGCAAAAAAACACACCAGCTGGGAAACATTGGGAGAATTGGAGAGGGAAATTAATCTCTTTATAGGTTTACTGTCTGTAAAAGTCGTTCGCATCCCGAGAAAATAGCAACAACTTTCTTACCCAAGTGCGAAAAGAAGACAGCAAAAAGCGACTGCTCCTTCATATGCTTCTGCTTGAAAATGAACACGCGTGCCTCATCACTGCCTTTAACAGATATGTAGACTCCTTTACTTGCAGGAGAGGAACACGGAAAAACACTTCTGCCGCACATGTTTCCCTACCTTTTCAAACCAGGTCCTGGCTGATAACTACATGGCAGAGTGCAAATCACCCATGCAGGTCACATTCCATTGCCCAGGAGCAAGCTTTCCTTTACCAACTAAAACCTAAAGCCCGTCGAACATCTGCATTTACGACTTCGAGGCATACATAGATGAAACAAAAGCTGGAGGCAGGTTCATATCACAACACAGGGCTTTTGCTTACGGGTACATTGTCATCGACAGAAGCGGTGACATCATAAAGAGCTCTACATATAAAGGAGTTGATGCTGCTACCCACTTCATAGAAAGCCTATCTGCCAGATGGGCGGATATTGTAAAAAAGACTTGTCTCCAACCCGTAAAGCAGGACACTAAGGACACAAGCCTTGTAAATGGCACCTTTCGTTTTCTCGATGAGGCTGCGGTTTCTCCAGGCTCGGGTGGTCAGACGGCTGAAGGCTGTAGCAGCCTTACCTATGCGAGACGAAAGTTCCTTCTCAAGCAAGGAGTCATTGGTGATGACCGAGCCAAGATAACATTTTCTAGGTGCTCGCCGTCGACAAGTCATTTGAGTTCATCCTACCTATTCCATGTTTGCCCAAGCAGTCTGGTCAATAGGAAGATACATACCTTACCCTGCAAATGCCAGAGGGAGGACACACATCTTTAACCCCATCTGGAACACAGACTGCGTCAAAAGACTGTTAGCACCTGGAAAATGTTGATACCCAGGCCAAATGCGCATGATACATCAGGTATGATGCGCAAAAAAAAACACACCAGCTGGGAAACATTGGGAGAATTGGAGAGGGAAATTAATCTCTTTATAGGTTTACTGTCTGT